TCATGAAATATGTTTTAAAGGCCATCCTAATCAACTGGCCTACTAAAACTGTGTGTTAGTACATCTACCTCTTAATTCATTGTGTAGTGATCAGGGTCTTAAAAGCTAACAAGCAGCCAGCCAAAGTACAACAATCGATGTTTCTAAATAAGAAGGAGAGAGGAATTAGAGGAGGAAATTGAATTCATGTCTGGATGTCTCCATGAACAACTGTCTCCTTTGCCATGATACCAGAAGAACTGAATAGTGCTCAGCAACCGTAACTGTTTTGATCAAAGATTCTTTAGATGAATCCTCATCAAAATTCAGAACAGAACTTTCTAGAGCCATGAAGGCTGAATCAACCCTGAAACTATTGCTCTGAGATAATCTTTAAACTTTAAAGCTTAAACCAAAACTATCCCCTAAAGTCTTCTTTGAAGCAAAAAATAGCTTAATTAGTAGAGGATGTCTGTTTTGTGCTTTGTGCTCTTTTAAAGAATTATCAATGTCAGATCAAATTGATAGCCACAGCTGGAAAGGCTGAATGAGAGGCTTAGAGGGAAGTGAGCTTAATGTAACAGTGGTGGAATAATTTTGAAAAAGGTAGGGAGAATAGTAGCATGTAATGAAGAATGTAATGAATGTCATGGAATTCTATATGTTGAAATGGTGTACCTTTGGCAGTGTCTGCTTGAACCTAAAAAAATAAATAAAACTAACCATGAGAAAATACTAAGGTGGGAGTTTCCAAACTGTGTGCCAAGGCATCCTACAGAGCCACAGAGAATTCACAGGTACGGTTGCTAGATTTAGGAACAACAATAACAACAACAACAATAACAAAACAGGACACTTAGGTAAATTTGAACTTCTGAAAAGTAACTGATATTTTTTTAGTGAAACCACACTGTATACTTTGACTGATGCATTTGAATTGTAGTGTTGGCAAAGAATATTGAATGAACCATGGATTGCTAAAAGAATGAACAAATCTGTCTTGGAGGAAGTACAGCCAGAATGCTCCTTAGAAGTAAGAATGGCGAGTTCCAGCAAGATGGCAGACTAGGCAAAAAGACTGCACAGACCCTTTTCAACAAAGAAAAGGGAAACCAATTAACGCAGACACAGAAAATAATCTTGGACCCCTGAGCCTTGAAGGGAAGGATATAGGAGTGGACTAAATCCCAACTAGCAGAAGAATTTGCGTGCAAATACCAAAAAAGGAGACAGACAGAGCTGTGGTCTGGCTGCAGTCTGGCAGTGATCCTGAGTGATCCTGATGGCACAGACAGCTTGGAGATTCCTGAATGGTGGTAGGACCTAAGAATTAACCTAAAAATCACCCTGCTAACCAGGGACTGCATGCAGGACTGTGCATGGTGGCTGGGGAACAAACGAAGAAGATGAAGAGAAAGGTAGGCTGAACTGTGGACGTTTGCTGGTCCAGAGGGAGCCGCCATTTTGAAGGTTTAAAAAGTGGCTTGACTATTTTGGATATTTAAAGAGACAGTG